AGAGACCTCATACTGCCCATGTATTTTTGATGAAATAAGACTTCGAGTTGAGTTATACAAAACGCTTCATTCTGGAAGTCAAAGAAACTTTGAAATTACCAGCTGACCGCTTGATAGTCATTTGTCGCTTGATAGTTATTTAGTCATTAGTCCTCACGTACGCAAAGAAACTGTTAAAGGTCTTTAGATTCTTGCTAACAATTGACGATAAAGCGATGTGGTAGTGGGAACTCAATGTTTTGTGTCTACCTCTTGATTTTTCGATAACAGTTGTATTCGTAACTGTTTTTTCTTTAGTTGACCATGTGGACCATATGAGCTACCTACATAAGTCCTTCACTATTTTTATATCATCACTTTTTATTGAGGGTTTTAGTTAATTTCAGTTCGCGATTCGCCTATCGTCGATATGGACTCAACGGCTGGGTTTCTGCTAAGAAGTTGCAGTCTGTTGGAGTTTTGACATTGTTGGGGTTGTGTCCAAAGATGCCTTCTAAATACTTAGTGAACTTTCAGATTTTCGAGTACGAACTGTAATGTTCGCGTTTCGTAAATTTTCTCGTCGTAAGTAAATTCAACACAATTAGCATTTTTGCTTAAGCTTATTTCGATCCATATATCGGGTAGCGAGTACTGAGTAAATATCTTTTGGTTTTAATCGCTACTGCTAACTGCTACCACCTTCGAGCTCCACTAACGCTGAGTATTCTCACTATCGAATGGAGGAGGTTTGAAGTTAGTTGCTGCTGAAGGTTGGTCTTTAATTTGTGTGCCATTCTCGGGAAAATTTTTCAACTTTCTGATTCCAGGTAACACTTGAGAATACTGGTTGGAGGGCTTTAATTTTGACAATCCCTTTGTAAGAAACATCTTGTTGCGCCGCTTGCTCTCACCAAATTGATATTGCGAATAGCCATAACTTGAGTTTGGACCCGATCCAGTTGAGCTTTTTAGTCCGAACATTAGTTTCTTTGTGCTTTCATATCTCATGGGAACAAAAATATTTCGGATAAAGACTTTTAGCTTAAGTCCATAGATCAAGTTAGTAGTTCTTCATACACCAAAAATTCGCGTTAAGGTTAATTTAACGGACACATTACAACGCTTTAAGATGAAATCGATAGCCTTCCAATCATGCTTTTTATGTGGCCATGATTCCACAGCTATTCATGCAGCGACTTTTCGAACTAGGAGGTAATAGTGGGACAGACAGGCTCGATCGGTTTAATAAAAGATGGGTCTACATCAAGTCCTTCAGGATTTTGCATACATCCGGACACGCTTAATATACTCTTATACTACTCATAAGTAGTGTAGAATATAAAAACTCCTCTACGATACTGACGTTCTTCGTGAAAGTAATAAGAAAAAGATGGCTTATTGTCTACTCAGGTTCTAATGTTTTTAAAAATTAACTTCAATTTTTTTATGTCTAGTGCGGGAGGAACTGTAGGCATTGTGGTTTATGATTTTACTTACGTAGCGTTTACTTATTTCATTATTATTTGCTGGCGTAATACTTGAATTAGTTGATCCATAGGATCTTGAGTTTTGAGCGGATTATTATTCTGTATGCAGAGTTCTTCGCTAAGGGGAACCTCACCAAACTTCTTTTTCAATAAATCAAGTCAATGAAGGGTAGTCGCTAAATACGTCCTTGCGCATCATAAGGAACTATGATAAGTGGTTATAGACCATGTACACGTAAATGGAAAAAAGATTGTCCGACTTGCTGTGGATTGGTTTTTGTGGAATTAGGAAACATTGATGACGATGATTGATGGTTGCAAAAATCACATAGAAGTATAAAAAATATTTGAAGACTAGATCAACTGCATCATTCTTTAATAGCTGATAATGTACTATTATCACTAAAGTGTGGAATACTTTAAAGATTATTCAGTTTTATATACTTGTCGAGTAATGCATTAGAGAAAAGTGCGAAAATTTTCTTTGGGACTAAGCTGTACTGATGGGTTGGTTATACATTACTTGTGGACTTTTCTATATAGGAGGACGCTGATCGTTTATGCCGTTGCTTGGCACTTGTAGCAGCTATGACAATCGCCGAAATGTTTCTATCTGCTTCATTATTGCAAGCAGCAATCTGAATTGATTTAACGGTATTTTAGCATCTTTTGAAAGGTTGTTGAATTTTTTCACCTTTTATAGCCTTGTCTAAAGAGAAATGTTTTTTGCGGAATTTTGCTCAATCAAAGCTATCATTTTACAGTCTTTTAACCTAATCTTCTTTCATTTCAATTGCTAGAACTTCATGCGTTTCAATAATAGTAGACGACTGACGGACACGGCTATGGACGATTCAGACTCGTATGCTAATGAAGAGGATGTTACGAACGCAATAATAAATTTGGCATATTGTGGTTCTTCTGTGACCAGCACAAAAGAAACAATAAAGATGTTGCATTAAGAATGTTTACATGTATGTAGACATGTATCGATCGTAGTACACTCACGGCCCATAACCGAAATTTTGTTGGTCTTTTTGATTCTTAGTAGGTCACTAGAGCACTCACTAATGTCCTTGCATACGTTTTCGTTTTCGATGTCGATTTAATTTACAAAAACATATAACAGCGCAAGTGGTACGCATGTACATACATGCATAATGATTTACATAAACAAATATGATTAAACTCTATATCTATGCTCTCATTTACAAATAACCACGCGTACTGTAACTAGAAACCAATAAACACTGGGAAACCCACTCATTCACTACTCACTGTGTAAACTGGTTTTTTGCAGAAATGTTACATGCTCTCTCTGCACCTTTCTTTTTAACACTTACTTAAGAGTTATACTGTTATTTAACAAAATTTTCCTGTAGTCGTATACGACTAAATATAGCTGTTTCTCTAATTGTAATCAAAGAGAGCACAAGAATGCAACAAGTGATTGTTTTTGCTCTTTATACTAAAAAAGAGAAAAAATAGTAAAAATAATACATACACAACGGAATTTTGCAACGTTGTGTATGGAATGGATTGCTTCTGTATTAATGTTAGATTTTAATGGAACATTTTAAGACAATTTAACAATTTTGTGTAATAATAAACAATTTACTTTGATTTCTGACTTTTATACCCTACACCTTTTGTGGTACAGCGTATATTATGCTTGTACGGACCCACAACTCGGACTTAACACCGAGAAGTGCTTAAGATAGATGCACAATTTATTGTACTGATCGGTTGAGCAAAAAGATTCCAAATTCTTAGTTTGTCTGTCCGTCTCACGTCTGTTTATGCATTATTGTGTCAAATTGCAATATTTAAGATATTTTGATGAAATTTTTTACACTAATTTGCTTTAGCCCAAGGACGAATGCTATTGAAAATGGATCGGATCGATCAACTTTTTCGACCAATTCCCATATAACGGCTTTTTAAAATAAAGCATTATTATGGGAAAAATTTGCGATTTTCAATATTTTTCGACAAAACTCGCTAAGTAATAGTAATTCAAAATTCAAAATTAGTATAAAAAATGGCGATATTTTGTTAACATTCACATCACAGAACCGTTCCTACGAAAACCGGATATTTAAAGGGTAAAAATGTATAATTTTCAACATTTCGTAGTTCATAATAGGGAATAGATAAAGCAATCAACTTTACCGAATTTGGACCACTTTGGTTTATTATCTGGATACCAGGCCACGCAAGGAATGTCAGCATATATAACCTTTTAGATGCCAAAAAGGACTAATTGCCAACCTTTTATGATGATGAGTAGACTAAATTTGAATCACATGGGCATTTTTCTTGGATCCCAACACATACAAGTTTTCTCATGAATAGTAAGCTAATTGGTCCACAGTAACAGTTTACCAAAAATCTAACACCACATAGATCGGCTTTCAAAACCCGAACATATTAATATAGATAGAGACTATAATGGAAAGCAAGCCCTTATATAATGGTTAAGACTAATTTCTAGTTTTTTATGACGGAAACTGAAAACTAATAACTTTTTTAGGAAGTAAATAAATTTGCTAAACTTGGATCACGCCACGCGATGTTTTGAGTATCCTTCAATGTGCGAGTTTTAATGAATGTAATTGGTGATATTGTTAGCAAAATGAGTGAATAACTGTACGCGGTGAATTGGTGTAGGCTACTTAATGTTTTATTGTTATATATTTAAATAAGTGACAATACCGAAGCGATTCAATATTAGCTCTAATTTCAACTTTTATAACCACATATGCTGTACTCGTAATTGTTAGGAATATAGCCTGTGTGTAAACAATTCCCTATAACTGCTTCCAATTGACTACGTCTTCTGAAAACGTGACATTCTTTTTCATCGTGTGAATTTTTATGCGCAAGCCCAGCGAACAAAGTCAGTAATATTCCTGGAAGAAAAAATATTCTGCTCGCCTGCGGTGTCTACCGGTGTCTACCGTCTCTTTTTCGGACAAATTGAAAGAATTGGTTTCCAATAAAAGTTTTGTATAACGCAAGCATCTATGTATTGCAATGATGTGTACGAAGCCAAGAGTTCTACCAGTCTATTTCGACCGCTATCAACAGGTTTCGGTGCCACAAAACATTTCATATAGGTGAAAAGAAAATTGAATCGTTCAAAACAAAACTCGGTGATGTGCATTGTTAACATAAAAGTCTGTACATTGTGATACTTTTAACGAAGTTGTAATGGAACGTAAGCTTTACAATTTACAGAATATTTTCCAAGTTCAAATATATTGTTTCGAAACTCATTTTTTCGCGTGAATTTTAACTTTGAATAGATCAAAGAATAGATTACATATATACGTTGGTATATCAATCTGTAGGGCTGTAAATTTTTGCTTCTAAACGTTAACGAAGTGGTATAAAATGGAAAAGCACGCTGTTTGTGTGCTGTAGAATATTTTGACGGTCCAAATTTATTCAAACGTCCTGAAGATTTTCTGGACACTTTACGATCTACTTTGATCAAAGTTATTCGTTCTATTTTTCTTCTTTTTTTAGGAGTCTCGCGGCAAGAGACCCCTTAAAATTTGGGATAGTTGGCGGAACGTACGGAAAGGCGTGGTAGTAAGCACATTTGAAGAATTATTAGTCCGAGGTAGGCAGTGGGCATATTCATGTTAAGCTTAGCGCTTAAAATTTAAATAAAAGTTTCTTATTGCAGGCAAAGATAAACTAGGGGTTCCTGCCTCAGAACCTGTGCGTCTTGTTCTGGAGAGCGATGGGACCCAGATTGAAGATGGCGAATATTTTCGGACATTGGCAAATAACACAGTGCTATTATTGTTAAGACAAGGCGAACGTTGGTATCCAACCGGCGTAGATGTCATAAAAGCTGGTAAGCAAATCCTTAGTTAGCTGAAATGACGAACTAAAACATGATTATTTCCGACTACTTAGCTATATCAGCCATACCGAAGATCGTCTGTGAGACGATTCATGCGTTAGAATTGCATGATGAGACTCCATCGTGGAAAATTATGGATAATAAGGGTCGTGTCACGGTGGTTCTGCACTGGGATCAGCGGCAAGGCGGTGGCGGAGGAGGTGGTTCTGGGAGTGGTGCGGTTGGCGGCGGTTTGGGCCCAAGCGGCAGTGGTGCGAGTAACACAAATGGACTTATATCCTCTGATAAGTACTCACCATCGAAAAAAGGTTTGTCGGCACAAAGTTCGCTTGATAGCAAGTCAGTGTCATCGCAATCATCTCAGCAACGTTATACAAGTCCTCAAATAACGGTAATTAGTGACGAAGGACCTGCGAGTATATATCACCCAGGTGGTGTAGTTTTGCCGCCAGGCGTTGTACTTCCGGGCACGAGTAGGAGACTTTCAAAACAAGGTGGTTCCTTCGACAGCGCTGTCGGTGCTGTGCATGTGCATACGCCCGAATGTGCTCATCATGCGCATACGCCCAGCCGTGCTGGTAGCCCCAGTACAACGGAATGCGATTTTCATTGTTGCGCGCTGCATGAAGAGGGTCGTAAAATTGCGGTGCACAAAAGTGTGGCCACATCGCCCATCCAAGATGGTACCTCGAGCCCCCAGCCCCAACAACAAGTAACTTTAAATATGTCATCGGTTGTGGATCCTACAATGGGCGGAAGTATGCAACGCCGTTCATCAGGTGCTAAAGGTCATGTACGGTTCCTGGATATTGCGCCGGAGCGTGATAGTTCCGAAAGCGAGACCGAGAATACGGTCATGGAGGATGATAAAGTGACAACCGAGAAATTCCTGCTGCTCATTGATCAATTGTCGGTGGACCAGAAGCGGCATCTTAGCATCAAAGACATTGGAATTATTTTGGAGCGTCTAAACTCAAAAATATTGGATGTAGAGCGACTGGATAGAGAATCCGAATCGGATGATTGTTACAATTGGACGATTAAAGCGACAATACGTGGTGATGCTCTACGCGAATTGGGCGTCATTTATAATGGCAACTATTATGCCATCTCCGAGCATCCAGGCTACAAGGAAGAGGTTGAAGAGAACGGCGAAGAAGTCGAAGAGGAAGACGAGGAGGATAGAATCTAAAAATTCGGGTAGACTAATATTAAAAGAAACAACCACAACAACAACAGAAATTAATAATAATACTTAACTATAAGAAAATGTTAAAAAAAAAAAAACAGTTTTCACAAAACTATACACTTACATTAATACATATATATGTATATAAACAGGTGTACGTACATTATTACATCACATAAAAGCGGGCAAGCCACAGACGCGCTAATGCGGACATTAGGCATCATCAAAACTATTCACTACACACAGTTAGAATTAAATATTGAAAAAATGTTCAAAGCAATGACAAAACGAACGCTCATAGCATAGCATAGTTATGCGATAGTAGTAGTTTCCAAATGAAAAAAAAAAATGAAAATAGGAAGAAATTATTTGTACTCGAGTTGTGCGTGTTAAATGAAATTTCCTTAACAATTTCTGTTAAATGAAATTTCCTTAACAATCTCTATAAAATCTCTGTTAAAGCGGTAAATATTTTTCTTTTTCCATTTTAGATAATTATTCATTTGTTAAGGAAAGATAGAATATCGTGCGTGGCATTGTTCGTTAGCACTAATGTTAGTATAATGCAAACATTTAAGCCTTTAAAGATAATTGATCATTAGTTAACAATTTTCCCATTTCAAGTTCTCGTGCCATTCCTTTATTCAAAATTCATATTTCTTCTACAATAATATGAAAATTGATTGATTGTTCTATGTTAGGAGAGCGATCTGGAAGTGATTTGATTTTTAAACGTAGAAATCCATTTATATTAATTTCAATTACTCCAGCTTTGCTGAGGGAAATTTGGTATATATGCTAGATTTACGTAGCTATGCGAAAGTGTACGTTGGGTTGGGTTGATTTCATTATCGTAACATCTTTTCGATTTTTCAAGAGCGTGCAAACACAGTAGTGCTTACTAAGAGGATGATAAGTAATACGAGTACTTGTGTGTCTGTGTGTGTGTGTATGTATATGGGTTGATGTTTCATTTTTCTCCTAAGACTGCAGCACATTCCTATCACTTCAATTTCTAGGGATACAAAATAGCCAAAATAAGTACCGTTGGTGTAATGGAATACATGTTCGGCACATATTTCAAGGTCTTGCTACTATTGTGGAAATAAAAAATAAACATATTTTTATTCTTTGCCCATATCGACCATTAAATCATGGAAATTAGACGGTCTTGCGTAATATCTAAATTTTGTTATTATTGTTTATGGTTCAAAATTTCTTATTCGTATTACGCACTGACTTGGTGTTAAGCTACTTTTTATTGACAACTTTTAGAATGTTTTATAAAAATGTTGTTACACCCTACACCAGTTGTGGTACAAGAGCATATTAAACTTACGTGGATGTACGCCCCATTCGGAGGAATTTGAGATAGACTCACCTTTTATTATACGTATGACACGATTTTCTGAATCGATTTAAATCCATCTGTCCGCCGGGTTTTCTTGTGTTTACTATATAATCGGTCGTCGTCCACTACAGTGCTTTGTGACTTGTCTTACTTCTTTTTTTTGCGTTTATCTGTAGATTATGTTAAACATTGAAAAACATGTCTATCCAAAAATACAATCCGTATTTCAGAAAAAAAACTGAGGGTGTCGGCACGGCATCACGGCAAGGTAAAAGTCCTAAAAGACTTTGTTTGGCAAGAATAAGAAAATGTAGAAAATAAGAAAATATATGGTTTGCTGCTCCTGTTCATATTCAGTTCATTTGTGCAATGTTGAAGCAGTAAATTTTTTGAGGATTAAAGAAATGACAAAATAGATGAGAGGAGGAAGTAAGATTTACTTAAAGTGTATATCGTATTTCTGGACAATAAAAGATTAAAATGTTAGTTTCCACAACACATATGTTGAGTTGGGAGTCGTACATCCTAATACATAAGTTTTTTTTTATACCCAAATCTACTTGCGGTACAAAGGCATATTAAGTTTTTGCGGATATAAACAACATCTAGAAGAATTTGACATAGACTCATTTATTATTATCCTAGCTTGTTGGGATCAGGAGAGTTTGTCTGCCTGTCTGTTTAATATTTTGATGGTCAACCATTAGCTCGTAATCCTTGATACATCTTGTTGAAATTTGGTGTACCAATGTATTTTGGATCAAGAACGAACGCTATGGAAGGTGGCATGTACCGTACTACTTTCGTGATGACCTTCCATACAACGCATTATATTGAACTGTTGTTATGTGAATAATTGGAGGATGGTATAGGTTACTTTCGATGGTGAGACGAAAACCACTGCAATGTTTTCACTTTACAACTTTACTTAACTTTACTAGTACATCACCATTTCCAGCGTCTCTCAGGGTACATATCAAAAATCCTGCTTTCTAATTATATTTTTAGTTATGTGCGAAGATGATGGTCGAATTTTTCAAATCCAACCAATTTGCTTTAAGAATTCCTGATGGATCATATAGCGATATTCCTTATTACGGTTCGCTAAGAAGGCGTCAAAGTCGCCGTCTTTAAATGTCTGCCAAAACTCTTTCTGGACAGCTTGAGTAAACGCAAAAAAAATGCTTATTAGTGAAGCCAATGAAGCAAAAGTAAGTTATGTTATCGAAAATTCTTTTACGATAAAGTTGAAGATGAAAAATTGCAGAATTTGTTTCTTCATTGCACTGCCCATTGATTGAATGATAAGAAAGTGAAAAGTGCTCAGTCTAGGAAAAAAATTTACAGACATTACGTATTAAGACAACCCTAACTTCTTTCCTTCTCTCTCTTTGAAAATGTATAAATTGTCTGTAGTAGCATTAATAAAGTAAAACAGTTCCTTACGTCTCCTTCTTTTTGTTTTCGTTTAATGTAGGTGGCTGTTGAAAGTTTGATCTAAGTAGAAAAAGTGTTGTTTTTTGTTTGTTTCTTCATGATCAGTTAGAATTTTGAAAGAATTATTTATACTAAACGCTCGATCTAATTAGAACGTTTAAGAATTGTGACTAACTAAAATTAACATTTTTTTATTTATGAATTCATAAATACAATTACACTCATCGATTTGTTATACACGTTCTTAGCCGCAATTATTGCATATATATTCGTTAATAAATCCCATGTTCACAATTTTAATGTGCATATACATATGCAGAGATATATATATATTTTTTTTATTTATAGTTCAATAACATAAACTGCCATATTGTTCGAATAAAACATTAACGTATGTATGTATGCGTTGTGTGCATATGCTAAATGTTCTCTTTTTTATTTTTACTTTGTATTAAATTACAAAATGCATACGTATTAAATTAATTAATGTAGAACAACAGCAACCAAACACGCATAATTTTTCCAATATCAGTATATTCAAGTAGTTGTAGTGAATTTGACAATTAAAACATAAACCATATATATATTGAAAAAATAACAAGCAAACACACACGCCTTATTTTCCAAACAAAAAAAATATTATAAAAAAAAAAAGATTAAAAAAAAGAAAAAACGAAAATAATTTGTGTTCCACAAATAGTTGACAGGAAAAATATATTAAATACAAAAAAGTAAAATACAAAACCAAAAGTACTTCCATAATATTACTTCCTTAAACTATGTAAACTAGGATAATAAATGCGAACTAAATTCCTACCACATTCTTTATGTTCTCTCTCACTCTCTCACTCTCTCTCTCTCTCTCTCTCTCTATATATATCTTTATTCCTATGTTAATTGCATATGTAATAATTTCTCGCATGCAATAAAATAATTTGTGAGCATTTTACGAGAGGCCCGTCTCTTCCTTTATCTTTCTCTTTCATATGTGTCCTTTCGAATTGTACCAAATACACTAATACGAGTATTTATTGAATTTAAAAAGATTATGAATTAAAACAAAAAAAAAAAAAAAAACCAAATATAATAAGAATTATAAAACACTGCCAGAAAAAAATAAAAAAAATAAAAAGTTTATTCCTCGGAGAGAAAACAATTCGTTAATTGTAGCATGGAAATTTTTTTTCTTAAACCTTTATGAGGTTAACATAAATATTTATTTGCATTGTACAAATGTATTGTATGTAAACTTTGTTTTAAACAACAAAAGACTTAGACATGATATATAGCTTCGAGCTTTCTTTCGTTAAAACTTGCCACCATCAGCCGTGTTAATAACAAGAAAAGAACAGATCCGATTATTGTCCGCTAACCAAGAATACAGGGCTTGGAGTACTTACTGTTTAAAAGGAATTGTGCAATCAACATGATACTATCCTTTACTTATAGTAGTAACACTCACACACACATGCAACGAAGCTACTACAATCAAGTCAGTTATTTACTGCTTTGGAAGATCAAAACTTGTACCTAAATACTTAAAAATACATAAATACTTAAAAAAAATATTGAATCAAAATCGAGACGAGCAGGAAAAACGAAAATTTTTTGGTTACTGCCGGAATATGTAACATAGATTGTAACGATGGAATCCAATAGCTATACCAATAGTAGATATTGCATTAGATTTGCCAAATAAATATAATCCATACAAATATGCATCAAAAATCCCCTAAATTATACACATTTTTGTCCAGAGGAATCGTTTTACATATAATTGATAATTTAACCAATTTCCATTTAAAATCAGATGAGTTTTTCTTATAAATTTTTGGTGTAAGTTTTCTTGAAACGAAAATTAGATGAATTTAAAATTGCGGGCAATTTAGTTGGGATTAGAAGTTTTTCTTTCATGAGATCCTCAATTGGCCATGTCGAATGGAAGGAGTGAGTAATCGAAGAGTCTACGTGAAAACATTAAGTCAATAAATATCTACAAAACGCTGCCAAATCATATGAAATACCTATGACATGTAGGATGCAATATATGATGTATACATTAAGTACAATTTATGTATTCATTAATAACTAACACCAAGCGCTATCCATAATGAGAATAATCTCTTTAATTGTTATGAATTTCGACTAATATCTTCACAAATATATGGTTGATGAACTATGTACACCCATACGTACAAATGCACATATTTTATTAAAGTTTTTATAAAATTTGTCCCATGCTACAATTTTCTATCGTGCGATCGATCATATTTGTGTTTTACCTCACCTACGTACACATCTTTATAAATGTTTTCTGTTTTTATGCGTTTTTTTTTTTACAAATTGTTTCAATATATATTGGTTGCAATCCTTAATCTCATTATAATTATTCCTGTGAAGAAAGTAGAACTTTTTATTCCTTATATGAAAACAAAAGATACTGTTTACTACGCAAAGTTCGAGTACCAAAATAAAAAACAAAAAAAAACCAAAGAAAAAAAATTAATAATAACAATAATAAATGATTATTAGAAATCATCAAAAATTTACGTACATACATAAATGCGTATATACACGCGTGAAGCACTTATTAAGACCTTAGAATCTTAGGATTCACGAATATATGCTTAGCTATGCAGTTAGGGCAAAGCGACACAAGTTTAATAAAAGTTACTCACCTAAATTGAATACGTGTATGTAGGCACAAAAATGAAAACATTCCTATGTATGTACGCCGTTGTCTGTGGCACTAATCACAATTTGTATGAAATGATTTTTAAAAATTAATTAGAAAGAAATTATTCTGCAAATATTTTTGCATTTGTCTGAATATTCCTTAAAATGATTCCATAACAAAAAAGTTGTAACAATATAGGGAGTTTTTAGGATTTAATTTTCATATCACAAATGGCAAAGGAGCCTGGATTGCTTTCGATCACTTTTCACCTGTAACAAAGCATCAGATCATATTGGAACTCCTTTTCCGTTTCTAAATGAATCAAGACTTTTTTTATAATTTTTTTGCATCCTGTGCATGCTCGGTATGTAAGCGTATGGAGCGGAGACACCCATACACAATTCCAATTTAAGACAAAATAAATAAAGTCTTTTCATAACGTACATAAGTATAATAAAATAAAGAAAATAAAAAATAGATAAAAAATTGAAAAAAAAAAAAAAAAAAACCAACATTTGCATAAAATAGATATAGCACCTAAACATTTAACACTATTTGAATAGTTTAAATAAAAAAGGCAACAAAAGGAATAATAATAGATAAAATAAAATAAATAAAAAAATAAATGAAAATGTTAAAATAACAGTAAATATTTGAAAACAATGAATAAACATTTAAGTAAAACTAAATAAATAAAAAAAGCAAAAAAAAAAAAAAAATTATTTGAAAAAAAAAAAAAAGAGATATACACAAACAAAAAAAAAAAAAAAGGAAAAAGAAACAACAACAACCTAGACTTTTTTTAAATTCATTCATTACAAGCAATGTAAAAATAATAAAATGATTAAACAGTGCTCTGATAAATATATAACATAACGGTAATCATATAGACACACAGCCAAACAGACACACACACACACACACATACACACACACACACACACACACTCATAAACTATTTAAAAAAATAATGGAAACCCATTTAATATGTAATAATAATATAGATAACATCTTAGCAGGAAGTAGAGAGAATATCTCGAATATTAAGAAGATAACAGCAACAAAAGGGAAGAGAGACGATCTAAGACGATTAACAATATCATCTGAACAAGATGGAATATTTCGAAAATCGAACTCATTTTGAAACTAATTGAAATGTTTAGTTAGGATCGCTGAGTTGAGAACGCTTTTGTTTATAATTTCGAAAACTTAACTAAATATTCCTGTCGAATATGTTGTTCATCCCTTATTCATTTCGTCTTATTTCGATAAAATATTTGAAAATGTATCTACCACCATCGAAAACTAATTGCAAACGAAATTTCCACATTTTGGCTACGAGACTCACAGTTCAACTAAGAATTTCAAAAGTTTTTCTTTTTCTCCATTAGATAGATAGCCGCTGTGTGTTTCAAAGGCAAAATGTAAAAGTTTAATTCATTCCGATTAATTCAAATTTCTTTTAAGGCAACTAATGAAAACTGTTTGTTGAAAAGCGTAATGAAATTCTACCTCTTTTTTGTAAATTAAAAAAGAAAATTTAATATGAGTAAGAAAGAGACGGGAGACATTTCAGTTTGTTGCTTATTTGAAATTACATTTTTCTAAAGTATGCTATACTTTATCCAAAGTAGATTTTCTTCCATTTCTTCTTCTTCTTCTTCTGAAATTCAGCAAATCAATAACTTATGATTTACTGTTGAGTTGAATAACAAACGGTTCAATAGGGACACCAAGCTAAATCGTAACAAAGTTGGCCGTTAACTTGATTGTAGATTTACAAATAGACCTTTCCCACGTTTCAATTATTTCCTTATTTTCTTTTATTTTCACGACTTTTGATATTAATATGTACTGGGATTTTATTGATGTTCTAAAAGACTGCCTTATTGGTCCAGTAGGTAAGGCATTACGACTAACAACACAACGGTCATGGATTTGAATCTTAATTGTGGTAGAGCTGGTGCTTTAAGACTTTAGTCTTAGAATTTATTTCTCTGACTAAATTAATTATAATAATAATAATAATAATAACTAAAGTGCAGCAAATTTTGGTGCGTCATCTTGCCCCGCTAATATTTTCATTAGCCTGTTCAAAATTTCAAATGAAGCACCAAGTCAAAGTTTCAGGAAAGGTTATTGGTGGATATGGGTGAAGAAAGAGAGCAGTATTTGCGCGAATGCTCCACTTATAAATAGAGACATCAGTTATCGTGGGAAAGGTCACTGCGGGTAGGTTGTTGCGAAAGCGGGCGGTATGGTGAGAGAATGACGAGTCGCCATAATGTGTTGTGCGCTATGTCCTTATATCCACAACGAGTGGTTTGGGAACGCTGAGAAAGCCTGCCTGAAGTCCTGTTAAAAGACTTAATTGGAGGAAAAATCTGTTTTTTCGCTGTAGAACACTTGGCCTGGATGTAGCTGGACCCTAAGCCAAAATTATATCTGCAGATTTAAACTTATTCCCACGGCTAATATAATTTCTATTTGAATAGCACATGTATCTTTAATCAATAAACGATCAGGTTTGATTTTTTTTATTAAAAAATTCAAATCGCAGTGTACAAGCGAAATTTCTATTCTCCATTTATAAACTGTATATTTAAGTTAAAGATAGTCATGGAAATAAGAATACAAAAATACGTGAATAGGTTTAGGTTTAACATTACTGTATAGTTTTTCGCTTAAGCAATCACATATTTCTATATCGGATAATGGTTGTCAAATGTTTAACAATAACGGGTACATAAAAAAAAAAAAAAACAAAAAAAAAAGTGAATAAATGTTAAGGCATTTGGAGTAATGGCAAGTTTAAAGGGCTAACTTATATTATAGAGAATAAGCAACAGATAGTAGGTCATAGATAATGGATAGAGAATAATAAGCAACTCTTGTTAGGTCAAAGAGTAATAAAATTAAATTTCGAATAAAAAAAGGGCGAATAAGTATATGAATAAGGAAGAAAATAATTTGGTTTGAAGCATGAATCGAAAAATTTGGAAAAAAATCTAAGAGCTTCACTTATAAAGATTTTATATGAAGAGAGGAGAATATTTATTTCAAAAGAAACCTCTTCGAAGTTGAATAAAGTTCTCGAACCTCCCCTAAACATATGGGATCGGTTGAAGAACCTCTTTATTATTACAGATTGAAAAACTTTCGACTCCTTATAATGGTGTTCATTATATATTATTTTGGGGAAAGAATTCGTTGAAGTTTATTGAATTTTCCAGCCGATATTTCTTATTTTATTCATATAATCTCTTTGCAATTAATTAGACTGGAATAATATGTAATATATAACACAACTTAAACTTAATAACTACCAATGAATAATGAATAAAACTTAACGCGTAATAATAAAAGGCTATAAGTTATAATTAAAAATACGTAAAGAATGATGAAAGCTTATTGTGTAATTACTATGTAAATTGATTTAAACGTTACCTTTTATATGTAATAATCTTATATATCAAATTTGATTGTGGTTTGATAACTAAATAACAGTTAGTTTCAAGTTTCCAAAACAAAGATTTAGAGCACAAAACTATAAATATATGTATATATATGTATATATATATGTAAAGGCAATCATTTCAATGCAACGATAGGTGGCTAATCCACCATTTCGTAAAACGAAGGGAAGGACGATTTCTTTTCACTCCTCATATACAGGGTGTGCAAACGAATTCATTGAGCTCAAATTAATTGCTTCGTAAAATGCATCTAACCCGCGCAATTTCGATAGACATCGATGATTGAACGATATAAGTTTCAGTTGTTTTCAGGCAGTCGTTCAGTGTCTATCAAAGTTTAAAGAGATGGACGTCATTCAGGGCAATGCGTATATTCTCCAGGCCTGGCCCCTTCCTATTGCCATTTATTCAGATCGACGTAATCATATTTAGCAGATCATCGTGGTTCGCAGTAGTTGAAGATATGCAAATATGGGTTCATGAGTATTCCATTACGGAACCACGAAGTTTCGACCGCGATGGCATCCGTAAGCTACCTGGTAAATGGCAAAACACTGTAGATACTGATATACTTTAAATAAAGATGAACTTTACCAACAAAAGAAATAATTCATTTGCACACCTCGTACATGTAGGAACAATCGGAAGCGATCCGGATCCGATCACGATCGAATAGGTACATATATTCTTTTCATGCTTCCCTTTTCGACCAGGAAATAGCCTATGGAAAAATGTAATAGATTCCTCAACAAAAATCTGTCTTTATCTTACCATAGTTGGTGCTAAACCAAGGTCAGAGTTAAAACGTTGAAAAAATTTTGCTAATAGAAAAATCCCTTCTTACATATATATAAAGTATTTGCTGTAAATGAAATCTTCAAAACCATTTAGCCTATACTGGGTCAACAGGGTCCCTAACCATTTTGTTTATGAAGCTTTTCCATGAAAAGTCACACCGTTGGTTTTGCTTATAGTAAAATCATTCTTAAATAAGTGAAAAAATTATTCCTTAATTTAAATTTAAATAAATTTTTAACGCGCGCATTAAAAGCGCAGATAATTTGCTGCGTAACAAAAAGATAAAAACCCAATGTGAGCATCAAGTTCTTTGTCTGGGCCTTAGTAAAGTTAGAAATTATTTATTTAATAAAATATCTTTTTAAATTTATTTTCAAAAAAACAGGCCGATGAAAGCCAAAAAAGCCTCTTCTACCTAATCAGCAGTGTTAGTTTTCTCAAAATAGTTTACACACGCTATGACAACAGATAAACATAAATAAATGAATAA